ATTTTACTGGTTTTTCTCTTTCAACACTAGGGTGTAGTTCAACAGGATGATAGTACACACCCACACACCAGCTCGCACACATATCCATCACAATACAGTAGGCTTTCTTGCAGCAGCTGTTCGATGAAACATCTTTCAACTACTTCATTTTAAAAAAATTTCTACCATTTTTTACGAAAAATATAGAAAAAATTATTCAGAAAACTCAAAGATTATTTTTTCTTAATACTTTTATAAAAATGTATCATCAAATGATACACTTGAATATTATCATTAAAATGCTTTTTTCTTGATTCTACTTTCCCATCAAAGTTAGCTTTAGTATACTTTCATAACAAAATATTAGTTTATTTTTTTTTGTTGTTTTAATAATGAAATGCCAGTTCATTTATTTCGAATATCAGAGAACTATAAACTTCTTTCCTAGAAAATTACAATTATCTGCTATCATCTTTTATGTATTTTCTTATTAGTTGATTTTATTCATTCAAGTACAAATTGCTCGATCAATTTCTAAAGAATCTTTCATTTAATTTTCTATACCAAAGTCAACTGATCTAAAGTCAGTGGTTACATGAAGATGATGACTTGAGTACTTTATTTCCGTAAACTGTGTTTTTAGATTAAGGTAAAAGAGTCGAGTCAGTGTATCTTTTCAATTTCATAAAATAACAGATGAATTTCTTGTTTTGAGTGGATATTTACACATATCTACTAGTTTAGTGATCTTTACCTATGTAAGGTGCAGTCAAAGTATAGATATTTGAAATTGCAGCTACTTTAATTAACATTGGGTATTATCATCTTTCTATTAAGATTCAATTGAAACTATACAAATACAATATAGAATACAAAGAGAGAAGAGAAATAGGTTTTGTTCTGAAGATGTCTGCTCTAGCTTTCTGAATTGAATAGACTTCGTTCATTTCTATCGAATTCTATCTAGTCAATTAGAAATATATTAGAGGAGACAAGCTACTATTATGGAGTGATGAGTAATGGAAACTTAATCTATTCGATTTATCCTTGATTGTTTTCCTCCCCTAAAATCATTCATAAAGGTGTCTAAGAAATCATTAATTGTAGAAAATATGTTTTCTTTCGTAATAAAATCCAATTTACAGAATTTTCAGTTACACATCGAGATCAGTTGACTGAAAAACGTTCTATCGAAAAGATAACTTTATATGATTCAATCAGAAACTATTTCAAGCATAAAACAAAAAAAAAGTATGAAAAATAAAGATTACTAATTTGTAAAGGAATAAAAGTCTACTCATCAACACCAACTCAATTAATTTGCCACATTCTCATATTACATCATTCAGAGATGAGCTGATTTCATTTTTAATTCTTAAATCTAACCTGAACCGAACGGACAAAAGATTTATTTTAAAAATTCTTTTCAAAATAATTGCAACTGATAGTTTTTAAATGCAATACATTCGTTTCCTATTAAATGGTTGTCATCGAAACTCGTGCTCCAATAATAAAAAATTTTCTATAAGAAGAGATCTCTTTACATGTAGGATGTGGGTGTGGGATGTGAGTATACCAGTGACAAAAGGAAAGATATATATCAACAGCCACGCCCTCTTTTCATCCATGCATAGAACTATTGCATTACATGCATCTTACTTTCGTGTTACACCCCTTAACGTAAGCAAATATTTAATTATCTAAGTTTTCAATGCTATAATTTTTTCGCATGAGTTCATGCATAGCTTTCTTGCTAATTCAATTTTTCACTCGATCTCATAAGATTTTTTTTATGCTAACGCTCTAACCATTGTTATTCTGGATTTCTCATTGTGAAAAGGAAACCCTCTGTCTGAGTTCATTTAAAGTGTACTGTTAAAGGTAAGATAAAATTTTATTTTTCAACAATGCTGATTATAAGCTATTAACATATAATACGTTTTTATACATCATTTATGAGTTATGCACATTAGCAGGTATAAGCTCAAGAGAATATAGCAAGATTTCATGATATACTATGAAAAAAAACACAAGCTTCTCTGATATATAGATAGTCAAAATTCATTTTCTAACAAACAAAGATCCAAATATATCATTTCATATAGGACGGGACTAATCGATGTTAAAATATTGGACTACCATATTTGTAAAAATTTCCAGAAAAAAGTTAACAAAAGCAAATGTATCTAAATTTTAGAGATCATATTTCAGCAGAATATAAGATGATTGAATTCGAATTTGGATTAATTCTTCCAAAGAACTTCGTATCAAATATCTGAAATTGGACATACATAAAAAGAATATGTATTTATCTAGCATAGGCACTATCCTAAAAATGTTATTTTTCTAGCTATATTCCTATGGATTCTGATATCAAAACAGTTTACATTATGATATTGAATGTTGTCCTATTTTTAAGATAGTGAATAGATTTTTTTCTGCTAATATTGTTCTCATTCAATGAAGTTACCAACTAAGTACAATTCATTTTCAATAATAGTTTCAATATTAAGTTTAAAAGAAAAGCTTTTCTATCTGTCTATATTCAAATAAATATCGTTTTTCTTTATTTTAAAATATTTCAATCATTAAAATTATATTATTAAAGTTACTTTTCTTTTTTTTGTTTTTGAGTGAAATCAAGGAATGGGGACAAAGAAACATTCCGATTTCTCGCTCATTACGGTCAATGCGCAATTATGTAGTCACACTAACAGAGAATATTTATGTACTCTTGCATAAATCAATAGATTCTATTTAATTCAATTAGTTTCATTATTTGCAAAATAATCACAAAAAAGAAACATAATCAATTTTCTGTTGTGTATTCTGCATTTCTTGCAACAAAAACTACAAAACAAGAATAAAGTATAGTTCAGCGTGTGTATAGTCTTTCTTGAATAATTAAATGAAAATTCAGCTTTACAATGGAAAAAAATATCGAGTTTCAATATTTTATTAATGAATGAGAGCATTTTTTCTACCCTCATTATTCCATATACTATATCAAACTTGAAACTTGAAGACTCAATTGAATTCAAGTTTCAAGCTTGACACTTCTATTTATTTCGAATGAATTCAAAATAGTTTATTTGTTGCGTCTTCGTCTTTCGCTGAATCAACATCAATAAAGTATATTTTTTAAACTACTAAGCATGTATCGTTTCTCTTCTTTTTAGCAATTATCTTTAACATTACTAACTAAGCGAGAATGTACATTAGAAGAACACTTTATGTCCTATCGTAGAAAAAAACAATTTCTTAACAAATTGTTATAAAATTTGAATAGAAAGTTACTTTGATCCTACTATAATGTTTTATTTGTAAGTCGTACGATATTCATATGATGTTACAGCTAACTTTTATATTTTATGGTAATATAATATGATTACCGATGTAGTACAGCATAACAAATTCCTATTGGAATTGAATCAATACCAAAACGATGATCACGTGATAAAACAAGTTGAAAATGAGCTGTAGCTACTTGAGATGAAATCTATTTAAATAAATACAACAAAAGAAAAAAGATAATATTAATTAAATGATTAAAATAACTTTAATTACTTACCAAATGTGATAAATAATTGGCAAGTGATGAACCAAATCGAGCATTTATATAATTTTAATTATCTTTTTGTTTCTTGTTTCATTATTTCAACAGTATTTTCCTGTACATTTTCAGCTGGTACAAGTTCTAAACACTCATCTCTTACACCAATTTTTTCACGTCGACAGGTAAAAATTTCTTGTAAATGAAACATATTTCCCCAACCACGTACAAATGATTGAGTTAATATAAAACATCGAAAGAGATTATCGAAATTCATCATTTCAATCGTACTCGAATCTTTAATATCATCCAGAGAATTGTTAATTTCATCTTCTTTTTCTTTAATCGAACAAAAAACAGGACAATACAATGCTTTAGTATTCTCAATAGTTTATAAACACACACATATATACAAAAAAAACTCTTATATGTCCTTTTTATTTTCCTAAATCAATCTCGTTAGTTTACTATGAAAACAAAGAACAATATTTTTATTGCATAGCACCAGTAATGTTAAGTAATATTTGAGGATCATGTGGTAAATAGACGCTATTTCTTGATTTTGATAATTGATTTGCAATATCTTCAGTGGCTTCAATTCGTCGAAGTTCGATCAAATCTAACATGAATATTAAAACAAAGTTAGACAGGATAATAAAAGATATTCGAAAATTTACCATCACCAGCTTCATCTAAAACTTTGCCAATCAAATCAGCTGCACGAGTATCACCTTCTGCTGCAATAACATTTGCTCGACGACTTTGTTCCGTCTGTTTTTTTTTATCAAAAAAAAACAAACTCATACAAATTTTATTCTTATCGATTTACTTTTTCAACTAAAAACCGTTGTTTTCCAACATCTTGTTGTGCACCTTGTTTTAATTCAACAGCACTTGTGAATTCAGGTCTAAAACTTAAATGTGTCTAATTTAAAGAAAAAAAACAATATAATCAACTCGAGACTCTTTTTTATCGTATCTTATAATTGAAATATCATCAAGTAATAAACCAAATTGAGCAGCATGTTCTGTTAATAATTCACTAACACGTTGAGAAATAAGTGTACGTTGTGTAATCAATTCAATAGCATCAAATTGAGACTTAGTACAACAGACTTTAAAACTTCATTAATAATCGATGATAAAACACGTTCTTCATAATCTAAACCCAAATTTGCAAAAAATTTTTGGTAAAAGTTCAGCTCTTGGTCGATAAAGAATACGTAATATTATATTAATTGTTTGTGAATCTAAAATAAAAATAATAAAATGTAATTTATGTATATTTCATTTATACGAAGAAAAAATAACCGAGACTTCTCGTTTTAAGTTTTATAAAGTATCTTAAGATTGATGAATGATGAAAGTGTAAAGGTGTAAACCGATCAGTTGAGTCGCCATCGATGGCCGCAAAATTTTTTAAGATACCTCAGCCATATACATTCATTGATGTTTCAATAGACATCGTAGTTACCTTCTTTTTTTCGCGAGCTTACATTTTCCTCATGTTCACCTCTCTCCTGAAGTTGACTGTTTTCTTCTAGCTTTTATATCTTTTATTTCTGTTATTGATGGAACAGATCGTGGTCGTGTACGAATATCAAATATAATTGGTCTATGAAACCATGAAATCATAAAATGAGTTCCTTCTTCAATAACATCTAGTTTAACACTTTGAAAATGATCAAAAATAACATCTTGATGACCATCATCAACTAAAATATGTTTAAATTTAAAGAAAACAAGGTTTTTTTAATTTTTTCATTACTTACCATTATAAAGCATACAATTAATCACACCACCACCAATACCTAAACCAATATTAATTCTTCCTAAAACACTAAATTCTTCTATCGAAATAAAATATTATCTCAATATCTTACCAATATTATTAAATAAACGAGATGAATTTATTAGCAAATAGTTCCAGAAACAAAACGAAACCACATGAAAATTCTTCATATCTCTATCGATAGAAAAAGAAAATGCATCACTATTTAATCTATCTATCTACTACAATAACAAACCAATGTAATAAAATACATAGAAAATGATTAAATAACAATAAACTTTGAAAGCAAAAAAAAATACATGCATACTTTTACATAAATCGAAATCCACTTGAAAAAATATGAGCACCGTTCAGATATTGTTCACCATTGGGTTTTAATGAATTTGATGTATCACTGTTCTTTGCTACTGCAGCAGCAATTGCTTCGAATGCTGGAACAGTCTATAAAGAAATTATTTATATCATAGGAAAAAAAAATGTTTTTCAATTACTATAATTTGATTTTGTTGGAAAAAATTGTTGTGGAAATGATGCACCATCAACACGAAAATCTTCAAGATTTCTATAGTTTTTTAAAATTTCTTCAAGTTTTGGATTGATTTTTAGTTTTTGTCGAGAATATTTTAAAAATGCTCAGAATTTTTCTAAACCATATAATTGACCTAAATAGATAAATTATTTTTGTTATTGACACTTCTCTTTTTTTGTGTAATCTATTTTATTATCAGCTTCATGATCACAAAGAGTTTCTTGTTGAAAATCTTCAAATACATGTTAATGAAAATGTTTTTCTATGCCATATGTATAAAATCGAAATAGATATTCAACATCATATCTATACATAAATAGTAATATTCAATTCTTTTCTCATTATTTTTCATAAAAACAATTCATTTATATCCCGATGATCAGTTTTAGTATCGTCAACAGCATATTGTTTAAATTCATTGTACATATGACGATTAACATTTTCACATAAGAAAAATGACTAAAAACGATAGAGTGTATTCATTTCCATTGATTGACCAGGACCAAGTTTAACACGTACTAGAAATTAGATCATTACAGAAAACAAAATGTATTTTATTTGTAAATCAACATAACTTTAGATTATAAATATTTTCTATGAAATAATAAAGTTTGACGATTAGTGAAACTTAGTGTTTTTAATCATTGACGATTATTTTATTGCTTTTCAAGTTTATCATGCAGATAAGAATGATAGTATTTATTAAAAAACCTCCATAAAAGAGTAAAATCTTTGTTTTTTTTTTGAAAATTAAAGCGACAGACATATTCTCAATTATCTATTTAAATAAGAATATAAGTCTTTTTAGACTCTGATTTTTACTGGAGAGCAGTTTTCACTGTTGTTTTTAGATATGTTGAGTCTTCTTTAGTCACTAAAAGACTCGTTTTTTATACGTTCAATGTAACATAATTTCAATCTTGTTTTTACTAGTAGCTTGTTTCTCTCGAAATATTGTAAATATGTACTGAACTAATAATCTGTTTTTTCTCTACAATCAACGTTTTTTTTTTACCATCAAGACATTCTTGTTTATATTTAAGATAAACTTGTTGAATAAAACCATTTTGTTGTAAAAGTGTATGAGATGAATGTTGAACCATAAAAATCATATGAATTTGAATTATTTCCATGCCAATAATGTGAATCATTGTATGATGATGAATGATTGATCATAGAAATCTTGTTGTCGAGTTCTAAATAAGTAAAATTCATTCTATACTAATAATAATTGACATTCAATTGTTTGTATTAGGAACAAAAAATAAGAGAAAATTCGTCAAAAAAAAATGAAGCAACACAAGTTATTTTTTACTATATCCATTTACCTTACCCGTATTGAACGATAAGAAAGATGATCTTATTATCTGCAATAAGTAAAGTGAAAGCAAAACGTTTAGAAATGCAGTATTTTTGACTTCTTTTCTTAACGATAATAACTACTATCCATTTCAAAACATATTGTGCTCCGTTGTTTTTTAAATAACTTTTGATAGGAATATTACAGAGACCTGCGGTTTTTACCATTTAAAAGAGAAGATCCAAAGCAATCGAAATATATCAAAATTTCATTAGCTAATTGGATCAGTTCTTGGCGAGAATTTTGGAAGGTTTCGGATCATCTCTCTTGAATGGTGAAAGCCGAAGATCTCTATGATGTTCCTATCAAAAGTTATTCAAAAAAAAAACAATGGGGCACATTATATTTTGAAATGAGAAGTAGAACAAATCAAAGAATCATTAAAACATTTTTTTTAAATTGGCATCAGCTGTTTCTAATTTTCGTTGAGCTTTTTCATAATTATCTCTTAGTTCAGTCATTGTTTGACGAACAGTTGACTTATATTAAAAATGAATCAATAAATAAGCAAATACTTGTTTATCTCTAGCTTGTTCAATAATTTTTTAAAATTGTTCAAGCCATCCTTTTCATTTTGAATCAGTAAAGTCATGTATTTGAATTAAATCATCAACTGTTTGATTTAAAATCGATAAAGTACCATTTGTTCTATATGGAGAACGATAACAACGTGCAACATCAATCAAACGAAATTCTTTCAATGATTTTGATACATCCTTATCAATACTTTTATTTAACTTACAAAATCTTTATTTATTTTCCAAAGATCAGACAATACTTTACAAGAATCTGGAATATAACGAACTCGATTGTATTAATCAGGTACATCATCACTTCTATATTGATAAATATAAAAAAAAACAAAATATTTTCATTTTTTATTTTCGATTTTCTTTGTTTAACCATATCGATAAATATCCTATTCAAATAAATTTATTTTCAAAACGTTTTTTATAAGGATCGATTAAATTTATTTCCTTAGAAATTTTTAATCGATAATTCGAACTATTTTATCATTATTTCATCTTATAGAACGTTTCTATCTAGCAGTTAAAAACAGATTTTCGATAAAACACATTCGAATCAGATGAAATATTAATCATTTGTTAGCGATCGCTCAGTGGAGAGAAATAAATTGTGTCAAAACTGTTCAGGTCAATATAATGTTTCTAGAATAGATTATTAAAATAATAAATAATCTTCGCTGTCAATCTTTATATATAATAAGATAATCAATATAGATTCATCTAGAAATCGATTTATATAATAAATAACGAATTTTGGACCAAATGCAAGGAGATAGTTAACTATTTAAATTAGCTTTGAAAAAACAATAACAAAGATTTAATATGAAAGTTTGTTTTTTTTAATTCTACGAATATGAAAACCATTCTTTCAATCCATTTAAATAATATAAAACGTTTGGTTAAATTTGAAAAATTCGTTCTAACAATTTGACTACTCTTCAAAACAAATGATATTTTATTTCTAAATAAAGAGTTTTTTTTAATGAAAAACAATAATATATAATTATTATCTTATCTCGACAATAATAACATAAAATAATTTCATTATAAAACTATAGAAAGATTTTTAACAAAAAAACACCAACAAAGGGTTAACTCAATTAAATTAAAATAAATAAATTGAATAAAATCTTATTTCTATCAATATTAGTCTAACCATTGAAATGATTTATTATATTAATATAAGATTTCATTATTTATTTAAGAGTTTTATTTATTTCAATAAATATCTTCCGTTCGTGTAATATATGTTAAATCAATCGAGTTATTTCGATTTCCATTGAAAATAATTCTTTGAATATATTATATCTTTCGAATATAATTTATCAGTTTTTTTCTCCTTATTTCAATATTAAAAAACTATTTTATTAAATCGAAATAAACCAAACATAAATAAAGATAATAAATGAGATTTATTTTTATTTTTAAATAGAATATATCAATTCTATATATTATTTTAATTTTGAATCGCTAATATAAATAAATCTATTAATATTATAATATAACCATATTCAATAGAATTACAATTATAATAACAAAAACAAGAGAAACATCTTATTATATAAATCAATTATTTAAAATGTTAATTAAAATAAATAAATATATATATTGAAAAAAAATTTATATAGAATAAGTTGTTGTCTTTTTATTTAAATTAAAAAATGGAAATCTCATCCAAGGATACGCTGCAAGACTTGATCGTTGTTCGGAATTTAATCGATTGTCATCAGATAAATAATTCTCATTTACTAATCTCGCAATAAAAGAATTCATTCTATTAAATGATGTCATACGCACTCTTTTTTTTTCAATATAATAATTATATAACGAAACGACGAAAAAGAACAGAGAACCCTTCGATAATCAATTCTTTACCAAATATTCGAATATAATATAAACAAATCATTTTCTAATAGAGATATTTCATTTCTAACAGTTAACTATTTATAAAGATAATCTTTTACTTTTTTAAACAATTAACCATTTACATTGAAATAAAATCTTCTATTTTACATCGAATTATCTTTTAGTTTCATTGAGAAATTTTTTTTCGATTAAAATATTCTAATAAGATATAATATATGTAAAATCTCGTTTCGATCTTCAAAGATGAGACAACTATCAATCTCGACATTTTTTGATTAGGATTCAATATTATTCTATAGTCACAATTTTATCTCGAAAATAAAATAAAATCAGTTTACCCGATTTTCAATAAGTATGGATTCCTTATTCAATATTAAAATTTATATCTATTTGTTTGTTTTATTTCACTTTAGACAATTGAACAATTTTCTGCTGAAACAAATCGAACAACATTTAGTATTACTTGATAAAATAATCGAAATTGAATTATGATAAGCACAAAATCGTTTTCAATCACGACGGCAAACACTAAAGTTATCATGAACTCTTCGTTTTGTTTTTTATTGCTGTTTGATTAATTCTATGGTAATATTAACAAAATACAACGTATTCTTCCCTTTTCTTTGAAAGAGAACGAGATAGAGAAAATTGATATTAATGTATATAAAGATAAAAAAAGTGAATTTAATTTAGGTTTTTTTTCTCTTAATCATGAAGTTGGTAAAGTCAATGCAACACCATGTTTTATTTAACGTTATTTTAATTGATTTGTTGATAAATAAATAGGCATAACAAAATTTGTTGAATGACTCGTTGTTGAAAGTATGTCACGTCGTTCACTTGTTTTATATACTGAACATTCATATGTCCCATCGGTATTTAATTCATTTGTTTTTATGTGTCATATATATATATATATATATTTTTTGTCTTTCGCTCGTCCATAAATCATTGTTCATGTTGTTGTTATCATTGACGATCAATGATCAACGTGCACAATGAAATATGTATATCAATTAACCTTTTTGAAATGAACTTTTAATTCATTTTCGACGAGAGAAAAAAAAATGATTTTTCAGCGTATATATACGAATGATTTTCTATGTAAAATCATTCAAATTTTTGAATCAAATAATAATCATTTTTCTTTTTCTATTTTAGATTGACCTCGATGATACAAAATTAATCAAATCAAGATGAAGCCATACAATAAAAAAAAATGTAGGTATCAGTTTTTATTTTTTTTATTTTTTTTATTTAACGATTATAAGGATGGTGAAGTAAGACCTCCTATAATCTTTTTAATTTATTTTTTTTTCTTTTGTCTTAGGTTCGATGAATATTTTCAACTATGACCAGGTAACAGTGGGGTAAGTTAACTCATTCTTTTTTTTTGTCATTATATAACATTAAACTAATTTTTCTTTTTAGATAGTCATCGTCTTGCATTCAGTATCAATTAATAGAATTGTAAGTATAGATTTCTTTATAGTTAGTGAGATAGATAAGGTATGAGTGAGAGTAAGGATAGGGCTACTCTAAGATAAGTGAGATAGAGTTATGGGTGTTAGTTAGTTCGTCTTCCCAGGTTAGACTTTAAACACTGGCCAGGAACTATCTTGGTGTCCGTGGCACACGACCAGGCTTATTCAGACTCATTGACATATCTCTCGCGGGGAGGGTATGAATGATATGTGTCTGTCCTGTACGTGCACGAGCGTTACGCTCGCCACGGCTCCACCAGGATGGTTCCTGGTCGCGCGCGCGCGAATAGAATAGACATTCATTTCACCAATTCAACGTGATTTATTTGAAATGAAAGGAAAGAAAAAAAAAATCGATCACGACGAGTCTATTGCATTGAAAAGCGTTGAACACGATGATTCTCATTATCGAGGACATAGAGATTGCCACGTCGATCGAAGGACAAACCGAAAGGAACATTCAACTGGCCATTTCCACCCACAATGACAGTGCCCTGTTTCGCTCCTTTAGGCCAACGCATCACTCGATGATTCCGCGAGTCTGCCACATAGATGGTACCCAATGTATCGACGAACAGTCCTTGAGGATACCACAATTGTGTCAGAGCATCCCCTTCGTCTTGACCTCCAGCGACGACAATTCCTTCTTTTGCACCTTTATTCCATTTCATCACACGATGATTGTTGTTGTCTGACACGTAGACAGTCTGTTGTTGATCGACAAAGAGGTAGGTCGGAGCCTTGAGTTGAGTGAGACCATCACCTTGGCCATTACCACCAGCTACAAGAGTTCCATTCTTGTCTCCTATTTGATATCGTCTTACTTCATCTTTGTCGTAGTCAGAGATGTAGAGATATCTCTGATCATCCATGGCCAATCCATAAGGATCGATGTTGTCGATGAGAAGTTCTCCTTGAGTTGTCCCACTACGATGAGACCATCGTACGACTCGTCGATTCCATGTATCGCAAATAATGAGACTATCCGTCTCTTTGTCAAACAACACATCGATTGGTAGATTCAATTGATCCAATCGATTTCCTTCGCCATTACCACCAGCTACTACTTGTCCATTTGTATCACCCATCTTCCATTGGATGATACGATGATTGCGGTAATCAGCGATGACAATCGTTTGATCATCATCAACGAAGAGACCATGAGGGTTACAGAGTTGGTTGGTAGCAATGCCTTGCCCATGGCCTCCAGCAACGGTCACTCCATTCTGTTTCCATCGGGCACCAACTGGAATATTGAGAATTACTACAATGAACAAAAAAAAAAAGAAATCGTCGTTGTCGAAGGGATTGCGTCTCTCGTGAGAGCAAGCGCTACAAAATATGACATTCATCTTTGAGAATGCTCATTCCATAGATAAAAATTCAGAAGTCTTTTCCTAGTTTCTTATGAGAAAAAAAGGCTTTGGTAACGATTCTTACATCTATGTTACTTCTAGTTTTTGTCAAGATCTTTTTGATCATAAAAATAACACCTGGAGATTGCTGTAAGGAGGTTCTCCAAGAAAGAGTAATACTAATTCCATGTAAGTTTTTGATAGAAAAACATAAGGATCTGAGGATTTTTTTCAGAATTGCAAGAATTCAGAATCTTTTTGGCAGAATGATCATTTATATGAACATCAGAGAAGATTCTATCTGTATCTTGTGAGAAGAATATCGAATCGTGGAACAACAAAATATGAAAACTAATCTCTATGTTCTTTAGGAAACCTTAAGGATACATGATTTTCTGTATGATGAATGTAGATCTGCCGAAGAATCTCCTAAGTATTTGCATAGAGAATGCCAGTGAAATTTGATAAGGCTTTTGGTAAGTTATGTCAAGCTGTTCGAAGAACAATCGTGATATACTCTGAGTAGGATCATGAGAAGGCTTGGATACAGACGAAACTGAACAAAGTTGAGAGGATTCCACGCGAATCTATGTAATCTGAGGGGACTTCTTCTTTTGCAAATGCTGAAAAGATGGATGTCAATCTGAACGGAGCTTTCCAGTGACAAACATTAAGATCTATGGATTTTATGGGCTTTGAAAAGAAAGTGTTCTAAAATGCTATTTTTAACTTTTAATAAACACCATCTTCAAACCATTGTATAAGGGTCCTCAAAGAGAATCTTGGTGACTAAATAAGATACTCTGTCAAAATCTGAAAATCTAAAAATAATGAGTATCTTCTATAAGAATGATGGTATAATCCTTATGTAGTACTTGTTTCGAGAAGTCTTCTGTAAGCTCGCATGTTATGGATATGTTCAGGAGGATCTGAAGAGTAAATATTTTGGAATGGTTGATATCAGAGATGGACAATTTCAACTCCAAAGTTGATGCTTTTTCTCATCAGAGTGAAAATGGAGTAGGAGCAGGACAGAATGAAGGTGCCTATCTCTGAATTTTATGAAAACGTTTATAAAGCAATAAATTAATATGCTACTAATTTATATCAATCGTAGATTTAATTATGTTCAAAAACTTATGTGTATTTAACTCTCGGATGCCCAAGCTAATTTTAGGAGATAATATGATAACATGTATTCATATTTCTATGATTTTGATTGCTAGACTGGTATTCTTGCCCAAATTAGATTGTTTTCCTCTTCAGTCTTGTAAAGTAATTATTAAAATTATAGTTTTCCTTTATTTAGAACAGTAAATAGAAAAAATTCCTTGAACAAAGTGCTCATCACAAACCGATTCTGGGAGGGTTTTCACTGAATTCTTCTGAACATAATGAATATCATAGGCACAAGGGCGGATATATATAATAGAAGTCTCAGGATAATAATAATCTTCTCGAAGATTCTGAACAAAGAATATTGAAAATAGACTAGATGCGACGCCATGCACAAAAAGAATGCAAGAGAGAAGGGATATGCATGAGATGTAAAGTGGACGGGAAAGAAAAAAGAGACAGTGAAAATAGATGCATTTCTTTAAAGTTTTTGTCAGATTCAGAATAAAAGATGTCATTGGACATAGTATTAGATTCTGAGATTAAGAAATATATAAGAACAGAGTAAAGTACTCTGATCTGATTTTATCTGACTAAATAGGATTCATAAACAAAAGAAAGTTATAGCCTTACATAATCCAAGTCTTGTCTGCTCTTATTTGATTCTGTGTGATCTATCATGTTCTTTTACTTATTTGAGAATTGTTGATTCAATAGTTTCTATTATGGAGAAATGTACAAAATACACAATGTTGTGTTATGAAAGTCGATGTTTTCTATTATTGTAATCGTAAAATCATTTTTGACTTCACAAATGCTTTGTATAATAGATTAGTCAAGGTACAGCTGTATCTCGGAAATTTTCACATAATAGAGAACGTTTTTCTTCACAAAATATTTCGACAGAAAAAATATTGATGTCCAAATTTTTCTAAAACTATCACAAGATGAAAAATTAAATTTTTTTCTATTATCCTCTACTATACGCTGGAACATATATTTTTGTATTCCTTATTTTTCTATATATATAATATAGAAAATGATATAATATTTGATTTATTTGAACTTATATGCTTATACATATATTTTTATTCTTAGTTTTCTATACTGATATTGATAATATAGGAAGCTTGTTAGCGTAGCCCCTTTGGGGCTGAAATGTGAAACTCACATATATTCTCTAGCCTCATTAAACTAATATAAAATATGTAAAGTGAAAAATCTTTTGTAGACTATAGTTATTTTGTAGGATAATCGAACATCAGAGTAAGAGTGTTTCTAATGTCTGCATTTCGAACAGAAATTTTCTTTTTCTACGGGCACCCTATTTTTTATTTTGCTTTGCTACTATTCGCTTCTTATTATTCATTTTTTAAATTCGTTTTTCTTAATTTAACATTCTTATTATTATAATCATTGAATTAATTGGTAAATGCATCTGTTTTACATATCCATTATATCTATAGCAGATCTTACGCCCTATTATATATATATATGTTAAGTAACTCAGAAACAATGATGTTGATTATCTTTCAAAATTATAACTTCATCAATTTTGGAAAAAAAACTATAGAAAGTCTGACGCCTGTTATCCTCGATTGCTAAGATCCGTAATGAGGAGTTGTCTGTAATGGAGATGACGGTGGAGGGAGGGAAGGGAAGCCGCAAAAATTCGACTTAAAACTTACACTCACTATTTTCTTTAAAAATATGTAAGTTCCCCAAAACCAATGATATAGATGTATTTCAAACTCGACGTTCAATGATTCTAATGAGAGATGACACTGAATCTAAACTCTTCTCATTAAAGAGAAACATGTATTTATAAAAATATCTATCGACATATGATTGTTTTCGTAAATGTCGAAATCCAATCCTTATTTTAAGTAGATATCTATACCTATCTACTAGTTGAACGATCTTTCCCTAAAATTTATGATGGAATTACGTTGTCTGTCACATGATCTATATAAATAGTATAGAATGTATAATGTGTAGTCGGAATATAGGGTTTCATATAAGACAAACAAGTCAAAACAAATTTTCCTTTAACTTCATTGAAATCAGACATGAAATGAATGGAATAGATCTTTTTCTATCATGTTCAACCATTTCAATTCATTTTCATTCCAATTATCAATAGGCCAATTCAATAAAATTATGTTTATGAGATATAATATGATATGTGACTATGTTTGCGATAATGATCAAATTTCATACGATTTCATGTAAGTATAGTTTGCGCTTGTTGAACAGATGACTATGCTTACGCTAATGTCTCATAGAGAGTAAATATAAATTAATCATCTCATTAGTGCAAAAAATTAAAAGAAATTACATGACAATGAAGAAATGAACATTTTGATGAATTAAATATCATAATTATATTTTTGATTTAGAAGTCATAAACATGATGAAATTTTGTTGATTATCGAACTCCATGTTCAACCAAATCATAATTTTCCAGTGAACTTTGTCAATAAGATGAAGTTCTAGCATTATAATTTTCAAACAAAAGTTTCATATGCTTTACCTAAGCTTTTAGGTTAGACATGTAATGGAATGAACACTCCTTTCTGATTCTGAATATCTGTTTGCTATCGATAAATTTTGAGATGAACAAGTTAACATGTCAGGATGAATTTTTTTTAGACTTCAACTATGCAAAGAGCTTTATTGTTGTACTTGATACCTATAGAACCTTGGCTATGTAAAGATGACATTTGAAACAAATATTTCAGTTCTAATCACAAATGAATTCAGTCCGAGAACCGTAACTTGCTTCCGAACATGGAACGTTGTGTAACCTAAAAGATGGTATAGATTCTCTCTTGCAATAGTATACTAACAACATCATCAGATTCTGCATGACTAAGACGGTAGACAATGTAAAGACAAAAAAGGTATTTACACACTTCAATATGTATACACCAAAAATGATTTGATAAGTCATCAAGAACGCATTAATCATTGTTTAATACAAATCGAGTTTAAACACATATCTGTTTACACTCATTTTTGATGACTAATCAATCAATTTTCACCATTTTTATATTGACTCCTTAAAATTAGTTAGTACATGAAAAGTTCTAGTCATTTTCAAGTTACAGTTAGTTTTTATTAGACTATGGATAGTTTTCTTTTCATTTATTCTATCGGATCTTTTTTATCTCTCTATCATGACCTATCTCATTGCAATACGCTAAAAATATTCACTGGTAGTCTTCATTTATATAATTGTCCAATGTTTTATTTCATCTTTAGTGATAAATTGATTTTTATTTGAATAAGTTCTCGAGTATCGAAATCGAACGGTAAGATTTAATTGTAAGTGACAACCATATTTTAGGCAGTTCTCAGAATAATCATATGTTCTGAATCGATATGGACAATGACTAAGTCTCATATTTCTGTGAATATTACTATCAATTTTCATCGAGAATGACAGTGTTTCTTTTATAATTCATCGATCTGTTGCTGGTTACAATTTTCTTTTGCGATTCGTAGAAAATTTAATTGTCTCCATTATTTTTCTTCGATACAAGTATTTGTAGTGAAATTCCCTATCAAATGGTTTGACTGAAAGGTAATAAAAGAAATATTGCTATTCTAAAGGG